GGGCTAATGGGGGAAAAAGGAGGACATACGTAATACTGTCAACAACAAAGAATTATAAAAAAGAAAAAAGAAAAACCCAAAGCCCAAGGTCCTTCCATTACACCATACTGCAAGAGAATGGGACATTAATATTTATGAAGATTAATCTAGCTGTGGTTTATGACAGGGTGGACTAAGCAAAACAAAGGAAAAACATGTCCAACTGTAGGCTACGAACTGGTCCAAAATAATCTGACTAGTAATGCAAATGCACTATTATAAAAACAAAACTTGATGATTTAGCAGAGGCAGGGGAATGATTCAAAATGCCTCTTGGGTTTCAAGTCAAACTAACTAGAACATTATAAAACTACTCAATAACGGCTGAAGAACCAGACTAGGAAAGGTAAGTTCAATTTTCTGATAGATTTATTTTTTTAGGTGATAACAAAACACTAAATAGAAATACAAGACTGGTACCTGGCCGGTATGGCTCAGTGGTTGAGCAGCAACCTAGGCACCAAGAAGCTACCAGTTGGACTCCTGGTCAGGGCACATGCCCAGGGTTTCCGGCTTGATCCCAGCAGGGGGCATGCAGGAGGCAGCCAATCAATTAACACTTATGTTTCTAATGTCTATTCCTCTCTCTCTAAAATCATTTTTTTTAAAAAAAACCACACATATTTAGAAATACAACACTGCAGATCTATGATAAATAGTTATTGAGTGCTTACTATGTTCTGTCCTTAAGGTACTGGGGATAGAAATGAAAAGTCCTTAGAAGAGAATAAAGGGAGAATAAATGGTGATAGGAGGAGGCTTGACTTGGGGTGGTGAACATACATATAATATACAGATGATGAACTACAGAATTATACACTTGAAACCTGTATAATTTTATTAAACAATGTCACCTCAATAACGGGGTTAAAAAAAAGTTCTTATCCTTATGGGGTTTGTATTCCATACCATCAATCAATCAATCAATCAATGTAGTTGAATACTGCAAAATAATAAGATGGAACAAGAAAACAGTGAGTTGGTAAAGATTAATATTTTTTTTGCAGAAGGTAGTTAGGGAAAGCCTCTCTTATAAACTGTTTTGAACAGTCTTGAATGATGTGATTGAAGACCTTCAAATACCTGAGGGAAGAATATCCCTGGGAAAGCAAACAGCACAAGATAGACACAAAGGCAGTAATGAGCTTAGAGTATTCAGGCCCAAGAGGCTTAGATGAAAGTGAGTGTTTGGGGATCAAAATCACATCAGATACAGGAAGGAGTCAGACAGGGTACCACAGTAAGGAATTGCATTTCCTTGTAAGTGGGATGGGAAGTTACTGGAGAATGCTGAGCAGGTGACATTATCTGACATTTTTCAAAGATCCCTGAGCTTTGTAGATGAGATCTGATTTTATGGGGTAAGAGTGGTAGCAAAGAAAGCCTAATAAAAAGCTTTTGCCATAGTCTATGAAAGAAGTCATGATGACTGGAGTAAAATAATAGTGCTGAGGCAAGGAGAAGTGATGAGATTCTGGATACATTTCAAAGTAGAGCCCAGGCCACTGTGGCTCCATTGGATGGAGCATCATCTCGACACCAAAAGGTCGTGGGCTTGATACCAGGTCAGGACACTTACCCAGATTGGGGGTCAGGGTGTGTACAAGAGGCAACCAAAGTTTCTCTCTCTCTCTCTCTCTCTCTCTCTCTCTCTCTTCTCTCTCTCTCTCTCGCTCTCTCTCTTCTCTCTCTCTCTCTCTCTCTCTCTCTCTTCCTTCCTCATCCCTCTCCCCTTCTCTTCTTTCTAATAAAACAATTACAAAAAATATCCTCAGGTGAAGATTTAAAAAAAAAAAAGTTGCCCCGCCGGCATAGCTCAGTGGTTGAGCATCAACCTAGAAACCAGGAGGTCACAGTTTGATTCCCGTTCAGGGCACACTGTCCTGATAGAATGGATGTGGAGTGTGAAAGGAAATGAAGAATCAATGATGACTCCTAGACAATAGAGATGAGTGACAGGAAATATCAATGATGCCATCTACTGAAATAGATAATGATGAAGGAATGAGTAGAACTATTACTATCTCTATATTCCATATTAAAGAAAACTGAGGCACAGAGTATCTAAGCAACTAGACCAAAGTCATACTGTTGGTAAGCAGCAAACCTGGAAAATGAATTCAGGCAGTGTAGCTCCATAATCTGAATTCTTAAAGCTAAGCTAAACTGCCTCCTAAGACTCTAAGAGAACAAAATTTGAAAGAAGTTCTAGATCTGAGCTCCAGGTTCAGTTCAACATTTGGAAGTCACAAAAAGGATAAACCAAAAACGTCTTAAAAAGGACTTAAAGCAGAAAATCAGAAAAAGTTTGCTGTACTGGAAACCAACTGAATAAAGTATACCAAAGAGGAATGCTAAGAGATCAACAACAGAAAAATGGACTAGGAATTGACTGTTGACTGCTGAATTTGGCAAGATGGAAGTCACTAGGGACTTTGAAATAAAAGCTTGATGGAATGAGTTATATTTATAATTCAAGAGTTGAACTTCACAAGAAATATCCAAAATAAGATCCATTTACTCAGTAACTATTTACTGAATGTTTATTAGTATCAGACACACTACATGCTGGGAACATCATAGTGAACAAAACAAAAATCCCTGTCCTCGTGGAGCTTACATTCTGCTAACATGTCTAGACATTTCTTCGAGAGAAAAGCTATTGCCAGTATTTTGCTTCTTTATATAAAATGCTATATTACATAAATCAGTTCATGAATTCCCTATTCACCATTTCAGTTTATGAATAAAGTAGAAGATAATTTTTAAGTACAAATGTATACTAATGTTAAATGGTAAATAATTATATCAAGTGATTTAGTGAGAGCACTTTAATACCACTGACATACTCAGTTAAATGTATTCTACATGCTATCCTCGTAAACTATTTAACATAGGAGTTTATAAGACTCTGTCCAAGGACTATTTCGGGGGAGTCTCTGACAGGTCTTCTTAGATAACTTTTCATAATATTTTTATACATGGATCATGAGAAGAGAAAATGCCCAAACCTAACTAACTTTAAAAAGTAAGCTTTCCTGGAACAGAACAATGTTCCTATACTCAGGAAACTTACTATCTAGCAAGCTCACATGATACATTCTCAATTCAACAAATATTAAGCACTTATTATATGATTAAATAATTAAAGAGCATTAAAAAAAGGATGCCAAATAATTTGGTAAAGATAAACGGTGTTGCAGGAATTTTGAAGAGAGTGGAGATTATGGTGAGTTAGAGCAGTTCTCAACTGGGAGCTATTTTGTGGGCCTGAGGGACATTTAGCAATTTTTGGAAATCTTTTAAATCATGACTGGGGAAGGGAGGTGCCACTGGCATCTAGTGGGTATTGGTCCGGGATGTTTACATTGCACAGGATAGAACAGAACACATACACATACACCAAAGACATTTATCTGGTCCAAACCATCATACTGTTGCTACTGAAAAACCCTAGGATAGAGTAATCAAGAAACAATTCCTGAGCTGGCCTTTCATCATGAGGACATGTAGAAGGGTAGAAGAAATAAAAGACACAAACATATAAAGGCAAGAAGGAGCCTGCTTTGAACTGGTGGCTGTAGATAGTGAGAAAGGTTTTGACATTAAGAAATTTATCTGATCGCAATGAAAAGGTGCATTAAGAGAGTCAGTAGGATATAAAAGTGAACTGGAAGCTAGATTATAAAAAAACTAGACAAAGGTACTGGAAACGAAAGAAGCAGTTATTAAGAAATTGTTTTACTTTAAGTATTTGCCCTAGAAATGAATGTAATAATTTGTAAAACTACTTAAAGGGCAGCAACCATGTCTTATCAGTACCTCAATTTCTTAAGTCACTGAAGAGTGTCCTGTAAATAGCGTGTGCTAAGTGCTTACTAGATTAAATGCAATTTTTCCAATTAATTATTTACAAGTATTATTGGTGAACTCTAAAGTTCCATCCACTGTACTTAGGACATTCATTTAAACTTGAACCAAAAAAAAAGCCATCATTTAGGTGACTACTATATGAAGGCACTGCAGTAGGCACTTACACATATTATTTAACCATGAAGAGAATGTGTTTTTCTCTCTTTAAAGATGAGGATATTGGGGCCCAAAGCGCTGAAGTGACTTGCCCTTGACTTCACGCAGCTAGGAAGTGGCAGATATAAGATTTAACCCTCTTCTGGCCTTCCCCCGAATCTCCAAGCTTCAGTGATATGCTGTGAGGAAGGGTTAAAAAAGCAAAACCTGACACCCACCATTCACCACGAAAATACAGAGGCAACTCCACTCACAGCTGTCCTTCACCTTTCTTTACTACAACAACTGCAGTCAGATCACCCCAAAATTCTCTCCTCGCAAACTCCAACTCGTGCAGTTAATGCCCTTAAGCCAGAAGAAGATAAACAAAAGCGAACCTGTTGAATCGGTATGGCCGGTCGGTACCTACTGCCAGTGATTCAGAAAAACAAAAGGGGGGAGGGGCATTTTAAATCCCAAACAAACCGGCGCTCTCAGACCCACGGTCCGCGCCCCCACTTCCAGCAGCTCGGGGCCTCCATTCGGCCTCAACTGTGGCCGAGAATCCCACTTGGAGCGCGGACCCAGCATCCCCCCGAGCGGAGGCGCCCCTCCCCAACCCTCCCAGCTCGCTTCTCTCAGCGGCTCGGTCCCAGCACCAGATGCCACGCCAGCTGTTCCTCCCGAGCTCTCTCCGCCGCAACCCTTCGGGCCATTCTTCCCAAACCCACGGTCCCAGCTCAAGGCCCATTCCGCGGGCTCCCGGAGTCCCATCTTCCTTCAAAGAGGATGCGCCAAGCCCGCGACCTCCTTCTCCGAACTCTTAAGGTTGGAGCCTCGGGTAAGGGGGACACAGCCTGGCCTGGCCCCGGGGTCCGGAGCGTCCGCAGAGAGCGGGCAGAGTGGGGCTGCAGTCCGGGGGGCGGTGCACCGGGAGCGGCAGGAGCACTTACCGACATCCTGATCGAAGGGATTCGTGGCAAAGAGAGGCATCTCCACCGCGTGCCGAGGTGTCCGCAGGGACTCCCCGTCGACACCACGGGAGTCAGGGTGCGACGGAGGAAGGAGGACCCCTCAGGCAAAAACAGCGACTGACACGGACCCTACGGGGTCCGCGACAGGCTATGGTCTCACCGAACCCCCAGCAACGGCGGCGGCAGTAGCGACAGCAGCGGCCACGGCTAAGGAGCCCAGAATGGCCCCCGCGTGGAGCCTGTCGGGAATCGGGGTGACCTCAGCGCTGCCTGCCCAGAATCTGCCCAGAAACTGCCCCTCCAAAACAGGTCCAACCAAAGCGTCCCCTCCACCCGACTTCTCTTTTGATTAATCATACAGGAGAGTAGCAATAATGCCTGCGTTTTCTTCTTGTGCCTTGGTTGGCAGTCTGAGGGGCACGGGGTCCTCCAGGCGCGCGGAAGCCGACTAACAATCCCAGGAGTGAAAGGGGCTGGGAAAGAAAAGGGGTCGCGTTTGTGTTGAGCAAGACCCCTTCTCCCCCCTTCCGTTGGTGGTCCCCCCCCCCCTTCCGTTGGTGGTCCTAACTTTGTAGTTCAATGGAGGGGGGTGGGAACGCCTGCATTTGGAGTCAACAAGGTAGAGAGGCTATGAGTAATTTGCTGTCCGCGGTGACAAGCTTGCTTGGATGAAGTCATGTGAGCTGGACGGCTGGGCTGGGATCCCTGGAGAGGGGAGTGTCGGGCGCTCCCGGGAGAGGGCTCAGGTCTCGCTGGCACCTTCCCCAGCGTCTCCCCGCACGCCCGGCTGCAGAATCCCTGGAAAACGCTTCTAGTTGGGCGTTGGTGGGGACTGACTAACTGTGCAGTCACTAGGCAGCTGTGCTGGTTGGAAAATAAGTGTCATAACCCAAGAATGCCCCCCCTAAACCGAGCAAAAAAGAAAACTGAAAAATGGAACTAGAAATTGATTTGTGAATCCTAACCACTTAAAATGTTTACTTACTAATTTCACTTATGTTTATTTAACAAATGTCGAAATTTTAAGGAGCATCTGCTAGATGTTGCGTCCCATTTGGAACAAACAGCATCTTGCAGGAGAACTGAAATTAGGTAAATTGTGTCCAAAAATAGAGCATTTCCAAATGTAGCATGTAAACAAATGTTTGCAAAATGTCAGCAACAGTATTAGTAGTGGTGTACAAAGAGTGCTTACAAACATCCATTAAGAATGAAGTTCCATTTCTAAAAGTGAAAATGCAAATTAAAGTAGTATTTGGATACATTTTTGTCATTCAGACAGAATTAGAAATGTGGAATCATACATTCGCACTGTTGAATCAAGTGTAAATTAATATGTTCTTCCTCAAGGAAATATTTGTAACCAAAGCCTTTAAAAATGTGAACACCTTTGTACCCAGCAATTCTACTTTTTGAAATTTATCCCAAAGACATACTTTAAGAACATGAGCAAAGATATTCATAACAACATTGCATATATTACCAAAGCATTGATCACCACTAAAATGTCCAATATTAAGAGATCAGACAAATTACTTCACTTCTTGGGGCCCCAGTTTCCTCTTCTGTAAGAAACAGGAGAAATAATAGGGTTGTGAAGATCAAGTGGATTAATACAAGTGAAACCCTTAGTTGATTAGCATATAGTAAGCATTAAATAAGTATAAGCAATAGTTATAATTAGTATTGGTCCAGTAAATACAGTAGACACGCTGTACTAGTAAAAACTCCACAGCTGTTAAAAGTGATAATATAGATCTATCTTTACATAGAATGACATCTAAATATATACGTTTTTAAAATCAGGTTACAAAACCATGAAGAATTACAAAATAACCCAGATTTTTTAAGTCTGAAAGGAAATACATGAGAATATTATTACATGATCCTCTCTGAGTGATAAGATTTGGGTTGGTTTTTAGTTTTCTATGCAGTTTGTGTTTTTCAAATATTTTAATGAGCCAACTTTCAAAAGCAGAAAAAAGTAAAAACATAATGTAAAAAGATGTGGTACATTTGTAACACTGGTTCTTAACATTTTGAGGAGCCGGTGCCAAAAGCTTATTTGTGTTTCATTCTGACAGTATAAAATTCATCCTAAACATCACTATTGGTATGTGAACCAGAGAATTTTCTATCAAAAACCAGTTGTTGATTCCTGGGCTGACAGAATCAGGGAAGAACTTGTCCGCCTCAAGTCTCTGAGCAGAGCTGGGACACATTATTATAATCACCTTGTATCATAGCCAAATGTTTATGGAAATGCATTTGGATGTGCTTTGTGGTTCAGTAATGAGACTGAATTATTCTGTTGCCAACAATAATCTATGGATCAAATTGTTCAAGCCTTGATTATCAATATGTGAGCACTGGGAATAGTGAAGCACTGGGAATTGTTCATCTTGATAGCATTATCTATATATTCTGACTTAGAATATGACTTAGAAGGATGGCTTTAGCTATTTGGGGCTTTTATGATTAATATGCTGTAAATAATAAACATTTCTAAATGTAAAGTTTTTAACATTATTATGTTTAACATAAAAGCCAAATATAAAAAAGTGAAATGAGTTTGTATTTTGAGGTTAGCTTTTCATTATTAGTCCTTAAAACATTGAAACTGCAGGAGTTTCATTTTTACTATAGTTTTAAAAACACTGTAGAAACTTTATGTCAATTTCACATTCAAATATTTCTGTAATATGTGTTTACTAAATTCTGTGGTTAATTTTAAAATGCTAAATCTTTGGTTTAATTTTGAAATTTCTTATACATTAAAAAAAGCAGCATGCAAATGGAGCTACTTCAAAAAAATCTATAAGTTTCATGTGTAGGGGGAAAATATCCTAGGAAAAGTATTAACACTACTTTAGTTCACACCCTCATTATCTCTTAGATGAATGATTGCATTCACCTCCTACCGGGGTTTTCTCCTTTCCTTATAGACTGAAGTGTGTCCTCCCAAAATTCATAGGTTGATATTCATAATATCAGTGCGGTACTATTTGGAGATGGGGCCTTTGGTGGATGATTAAGTAATGATTAGGTTTCAATGAGATCAGGAGGTTGAGGTCCTCTTGATGGGATTAGTAAGAGGAAACACCATGTAAGCACACAGTGAGAAGGCAGCTATGTCTGCAAGCCAGGACTAAACCCATACAGGCACCCTGATCTAGGATCCAGTCTCCAGAACTAAAAAATAAATAAATTTCTATTATTTAAGCCACACAGTCTGTGGTCATTTCTTATGGCAGTCAAGCTAATACACCTGCCTACATCCCAACCATTCTCCAAACCTGTACTACAATGATTTTTCCAGCACGCAAACCTGATCATATTCCTATGAAATTCTCACATGGTTCCTCAGCCACTCGGTCATTCAATACATATTTATTAACTCCTTATTTGTGCCAAGTACCATTCTAGAAACTGGAAATGCCATAGGGATAAAAGCTCTATGTGAGATAACCATTTTCGGAGTCTAATAACCTATGGGAAAGACAGTCATTAAATAAATGATACATTAGCTGCATGATTACAAGCATGCAGATCAGCCTCCTGCCTTCAGGATTAAATCCTAACTCTTTAGTACTACATCATTACTGAACTGGTCCCTGAATACCTCATGTCACAGTTTTTTGTTTTTATCACATTTTCAAATTTTTTTTATTCTTTATTTTTATTGATGAATGTATTACAGATGTTCACTTTTCCCCCATCTATCCCCTTCATCCCTCCCACCCCTCCCCTCAGGCTCCTTAGAGTTTATTCATATCCCCTACTTTAGTTTTTCTGATGCCCCCAGACTTTCCATGGCTTTAAACAAGCAGTTCTTTTTGCCTTTCCTGCTCTGATTCTATACCTTCTATAAACCTGTATTTCATTTTTCAGAAGCCTTTCCTGGTGGAGTACCTGACTGGAAATAAGCATGTAATAAAGATTTGTTCATTGGATATTGGCCACCTCTATCACAGCACTTAATGGTATTCTATTTGTTCCAGGTGTTTTTTACTATGTAAAAATTACCCCAAAGTTGGTATTTTAGGACAACAGTCATTATTTCTTTTGCTTGCAAATTGGAAATGTGGTCAGTGTTCCTCGAGCACAGCTTGCCTGTCTCGCTCCGTATCAGCAGGGATGGCTCAAAGGGTGGGATGATGACACCTGTGGCTGCGATCTTTTGAAAACTTACACAATTAACGAGTCTAGCAGTTGACGCTGGCAGTTGGTTGGGTCATTGGGTTGTTAGTCAAAACAACTACAGGGAACCTCCTAAGTGACTGTTTGGTTCCTCCCATAAACTGGACCGTGAACATTTCGAGACTCAGGAAAAGGAAACTATCACTGTCCTAAGACCTGAGTTAGGAAATGGGCACGGCATTATTTCAGTCATATTGTACTGGAAAAGGAGTCACAGTGCCTATACCAGGGGTGGCCAAGTTTTTGACTCGAGGGCCACAATGGGTTCTTAAACTGGACCGGAGGGCCGGAACAAAAGCATGGATGGAGTGTTTGTGTGAACTAATATAAATTCAAAGTAAACATCATTACATAAAAGGGTACGGTCTTTTTTTTTTTTTTTTTTTTAGTTTTATTCATTTCAAACGGACCGGATCTGGCCGGCGGGCCATAGTTTGCCCGGCTGGAAGGAGAAGAAATCTCCCTTCTTGGTGGAAGGAATATTAAAGAATGTGGGGCCACATTTGAAAGCTACCGCAATATTGTAACTTTTAGTCTGTGATTCATTTATCTTTGTATTTCTGGGCTTTTCATAGTAAGTGTTCCATAAACATGTGTTAAATGTAGTAAATAAAGGGTATGATTAAAATAGCATACTACCATTTCCAGCCACAAGGGATTAACAGGATCTGGACTTTTCATCATATCCAAATAGAACACTGGAAAAAAAGGAAACAATTTCAAACATGGGACAATAGACTGTGATCCCAAGGAGAACGGAAACAGGCAATAAGTCCCATGATTGCTGCTGCATTAGGCCTACAAGTCATTTTATGAGCTGTGCCATATGGATGGGAAACCCAAAAAGAGCCAGAAGTTGTTACTGTATAAATCAGTTTGGGGAACCCCAGGGGCTACAATTTGGAGGACAGAACACTGGGAGAGTGCTGTTATGAAAAGAAAAGACTCCAAAAGTCTGCACAGGAATTATCTTGAGACTCTAGCTGACTGCTAATCTAGTCATGGATATTGTAAATCTCTACAAGTCTGAGTAAAGAACTTTCAAGGTAAGGACTATTACAAATTATAGTAGACTTCTAATCAAACTATGCAAAATAAAAAATAACAGTGGAACAGTACCTTTAAAGTCCTAAACTTAAAAATTGTCAACCTAGATTTCTCTATCAGCAAAAATATATTTCAAAAATGAAGATGATGTCCCTCTCCTGGGTAGAGTTGCACCTGGATTGGTGATGCTTGTCTCATATCAGCCAGGGACAAAGTAACTCTTTGTTTATCCCAGCTTGGTTTTTGGTCTGTCCCTGTGCCTGGTTCATGCCCTGGATGCATCAGAAAACAAAACAAAAAAAGAAGGTGAAATCACAAATTACGTACAAAAAATATCATCACCAGCAGAGACCTATTCACTGAGAAATGTTA